TAATGAGGGCACCACTGTGGTGGTAAAGGTGGCTTATACCAAGGCTGGTATATTGACAGTGTTAGCTGGTGCCCTTCCCAGGAGGACGCAGTGTGTATACAGTAGACCCAGTGTCCTGTATTTATGCAATAATGGAAGGACTTTTTTGGTGAACTAGAAAGAAAGATCTTTGGAGCAGTAACATTTTTTATAGAAAACAAGAAAGTGCTGTATATTTCTGCTTGTGACTCATGATTTTTTTTCTCTGTACCTCTCATAGGCATCTTCCTAGAATAAGGAATTATGCTAGGTTCATGTTTTTTCTTAGCCAAAAAGGTTTTTTTTTAAAGGTAAAGAATAGAATCTAGGTATGTTTTTGCCCTCACAACACTCTCCTTTTCTCGATGAAAATGAAGATTTCAATTTTCAGGGCCACCCAGTTTCCTTTGGTGTCATTTGATACATGCCAGTTCCCCGAAAGCCTTTTCTTCCCTTTCACGTGTCTCCTGGCCTGTCGATGCAACTACATGACTAAATTGTTCAAGCTGAATCCCTGTGTATCCCATCCATTTTGTTGGCAAGATATTCTAGTGGCTTTCCTCCTGTTAGCAGAGTGCATGGTAAAAAATTGGTGAGTAATTCATTTTGGTTTTGCTCCTGCTTTATAAAAGGAACCTAGCAGGGTAGAGATATTCAACAGATTATTTCATCTTTAAAATTTTAGCAGAAATAAACAAGATGATTAGTTTAAAATTTAATTCATAGTCAGTGAGTTAAAAGAAAGACTTGAGTTGCTGATTACAGTCAGCTCCACTAGCCCCCTGAAATGTAATTAGCTTTTGGCGAGATTCCAGATGGCTTCTTTACACTTAAATTTGCCAGAAAAAAAAATTTCCAGTGCTGTTTCAGTATTTCAAATAGTTTTTAAAGAGTTTACTAGCAACACTGATCTGAATTCATATGCACTAGGTGATGTCTCTTGATTTTTTGGACACAACACACATGTATTAAAAGGGGTAAGTTAACAGTGTTGGCCTTTCTAGTGTTATAGGAGGGGAAGTTGCTTTTAGTTCTGTGGTTTACTTTATTTTTAAAACATATTTGGGTTATAGCCTGTGTAAAAAGTCATAATGAATATATTTTTTCAAAAAATCCAGTGACTACACTGAGATTATACCTGAAAAAATATTATTCTTTATGTTTTTCTTTTCTGTTAATATGGCATTACAAGTCTAGAAAATACAAGGAACTGAAGACAGCTTGCAGGGGAAGGCCAAAGTATGAACTTCACAATTCAAATAAAAATTTCCACGTTAGCATTTGCACCTATTCCATGGTTAGGCTGCCGTTAGACATAAGAAGGTGTTCCTGTTGTAATTCTGTTGCTTTTTCCCACTAATTAAAAAATAATTGTTATTATGGATAATACCAGATATGTACAAGAGTAGAGCAGAGGGCATAAAGAACCTCTACATACCCATGAACCAGTTTCAACAATCATAACTCATGGCCAGTCTTGTTTCATTCCTACCCCCACCCTCTTCTGTGCCCTTGCCCCTAAAGTCCTTCATTTTAAAGCCAACCCCAGATATCACCTCATTTCATATGCATATATTTTAGTATGGGATACCGAAAGATAAGGATCCTTAAAAAATATAACCACAATACCATTATCACATTTTAAAAATTAACAGTGATTCTCTAGTATCATATATCCAATCAATGCTTCAATTTTTCCTGCTCATAAGCGGTTGTTTTTAGTAATGGTTTGAAATAGCATTTAAGCAATATCTGCACTTTGTTTGGCACATCTCTTATGTCTCATTTAACTTTTTTTTTAAATGTTTATTTTTGAGAGAGAGAGAGAGAGAGGGAATATGTGAGCAGGAAAGGGACTGAGAGAGAGGGAGACACAGAATCTGAAGCAGGCTCCAGGCTCTGAGCTGTCAGCCCAGAGCCCAATTCAGGGCTTGAACCCACAGACCATAAGATTATGACCTGAGCCGAAGTTGGACACTTAACTGACTGAGCCACCCAGGATCCCTCTTGTGTCTCATTTAAGATGCCCTCTTCTTTCTTCTCTTCTTCCCCCACCCCTGCTCCTACTACAATACATTTGTTGAAGAAGCTGACATCATGTGTTGTATGGAATGCCAACATTCTTGATTTGTTACATTGCATCCCTGTGGTGTTATGTAACATGTTCTGGTATTCTCTGTATTTGATGTAAACTGGTAATAAAGGGCTTGATCAGGTTTAACTTTCTTTTCTTTCCTTTTCTTTCTTTCTTTCTTTCTTTCTTTCTTTCTTTCTTTCTTTCTTTCTTTCTTTCTTTCTTTCGATAAGACTCCTTTATAAGTAGTGACATATGTATTCATCAGGAGGACATCTGGATGTTAGTCTCCCTTTCTGTGATGTTAAAAGTGGTTAGTCAGCTCTAGGCACCTCATTTATCCTGATCATCCATTATGAAGTACCCTATCAGCTCGTCACCTAATAATTTTAGCAGCCATTTATAATCATTGCTGCTAATTATTATATCAAGAAGGAGAGGTACCATTTTTTAAAGTAATTTTTAAGACCTGGCGAGTAACTTAGTGACAAAATGTTGTGATTTTCCTAAGTTTGTTGATTCTGCCTTCCCTCTTAAGGCCTAGTTCCAGAGACTCTTTCCTGAGCTAAGTAGATTGCATCAGCTTAGAAGCTCTGTGAAAAAACAAAGCCCTAAGTGACCCAGTCATCTTCCTGTGGAGTTAGCATTCTCTCAAGAGACAGTTGCCCAGCCCCAAGACTAAAGGGGATAAGGCAGTGTTTTTGTTTTTATTTTTGTTAAATAACAAAGCTTGGACTTCATCAAGCTTTCAGCGTATATAATGCACAATTTGTACATTAACATTTTATTGAAAATACCAACAGAGAGGAAAGAGTTGAAAATACCATTGAGATATCCCCACTCTTTCAACCCATTTCTCTGTTGGGCTTTGAGAGTGGGGCAATGAATAAGTCCTCATCCCTGAGCCTCACCTGGTCATCAGTGATGACTTTTTTACTGCCAACCTTGGAGGGAAAGGAGGAAAGGAAAGAGAATCAATTGGGAAGGTCTGAGAAGGTTGTTCCCAACCAGTAGCTATTTGTTGAGAGGAATTCAAAATGAAGTAACCCTTTTCCTTGGAAGCTAACTTAGAAGTTATTTGAGGTAACCTCTTTGCTAATCTAAGAATCCCTCCAAGAGTCTGACAACTGGCAGAAGACTTACCTTCACATTTTATACTGTTACAGTGAGCAACTCATTCTGCTTCTTTAATTTTGTATATCTTGTTTTCACTACCAGATTATATAGTTTGTGAGGACAAGGAAGTTATCTAATTATTCTATTTAATCCTATATAGGGTGTCAAACAGAAACACAGGTGGACAGCAGTTAAAGAGGTGAAAACAGATTTCATTCAGTAGCTGCTGAAAGCGGGGGAGACAGCTGAGTGCCATTCTGATTTGTGCAGAGGTGATTGGGCATTTTAGAGAGAGAGTGAGTGAGCGCACGGGCCTAGCTGTGACTCAGAAGAGGCCAAGAAGTGAAAACCTACACAGGAATGGTTGTCTAAGTACATTTAGGTGGGCTGTGTCTGCTGGCTGGCAGTTTATCCTCTTGCGGACACTGGGAGGCAGGCCCCCTGCTTCCTGATGATTGCATTGCACAGGAATGGCTCTCAGGTCCTTGAGAAAGACTTGTGAGTTGTAGGAGATACATATTCACAATTGTGAGCCCTTTGGAGAAAATGATCTGTGACAGGGAGGTCAGAGGCCTTTTGTCAGGTGCTGGCTAGAGCCAATAGTAAATTCTCCTGGTGGCATTGAGCTTTCTCAGGCCAGGGTTCTAATAGGGGCAGGGGGTCCTCCTGGGGATGAGCCTCATGCCGCTAGACACCATGCTGGAGTGTGGCATCTCCTGGTGCACAGGTTTGCATGAAGTTTACGGTATGCTGAAAGTTCTGCCATTCTCCAGGGCCTAGACCACCACTTACTGAGTTTGTGTTCACTGAACACATTTAAATAAATTCAGTTTTTTAAAACAAGTTCACATTTAAGTAAGTTCTGTTTCCTCTACCCTGAAAGAAATGGGGTCTGTTGGAATGCCTTTCACCTTCTCTTAGTACCTAGACAAAGCCAGGAAACAGGAGCGCCACCTGCATTAGTTATTTTCCTTCCTTTCCTGGGTCAAACTGGCTGTTCTCCTTAGCAGGGAGGATGGCTGTACTTCAACTTGTGAATAAGAGACTTCATCTCTCTACCATGGATATTCTGATTTTTTAAAAAATAAATAATTCAATATGGATCTATCTGTTATAAAGATGATTAAATATTTTACTATCTACTGCAGTTTTCTGAGCACTGTTTTTTTTTTTAATTTTTTAAATGTTTTATTTATTTCTGAGAGAGAGAGAGGCAGCATCAGCAGGGGAGGGTCAGAGAGAGAGGGAGACAAAGAATCCGAAGCAGGCTTCAGGCTCTGAGCTGTCAGCACAGAGCCTGACATGGGGCTCGAACCCACAAACTGTGAGATCATGATCTGAGCCGAAGTCGGACACTTAACCGACTGAGCCACCCAGGTACCCCATTCTGAGCACTATTTAAAAAGGATGGTTTAAATGTCTCTTACCCAGGGAATCATACCTAGCAGAACAGCATTTCTGTCATATACTTTCATCAAACTTCCCCTTTTTGGCATTAATCTCAGGTTGTAATGTATTTATATGTATGATAATTTTTAAATACATGTCACGGAAGCTGTCTTGTTCACTGTTGAAAGACCAGCTCCTACCACAGTGCCTAGAACTAGTAAATCTATTCCCATATGCTCTATTTAATGAGTAAACGAGTGTGGCCCTCCACCTTACTTTGTCTTTTCCTGTAAGACGCCACTGACAGTATACAAATGCTGTTTAATTAAATCTTTGTCAATGAATGTTTGTGAAATATCATGGACCTTGAGTCGTGTTTCAATGATTCTTCTTCTCTTCATAGGTTCCTTACCTATTCCTACCTCTTGGCCTTCAACGTGTGGCTTCTGCTTGCACCTGTTACCCTGTGCTATGATTGGCAGGTGGGCAGTATTCCCCTGGTAGAGACTATATGGGACATGCGGAACTTAGCCACCATCTTTCTGGCAGTTGTGATGACCTTACTGAGCCTTCATTGTTTAGCAGCCTTCAAGGTAATTTTCTTAAAATCCAGATGAACTCTCAGCATTTGAAGACAGATACTCTAAATTTACTTAGTATTGCCTCCCCCTACCCACCCCACCAGGGATCTGGGTCTAAACTGAATCTACTCTTTAGTCTAAAAACCAAAAAATTAAAATTTTTCCAGGTAAGTAATATATATCTTAAAGACTGTAGTAGAGTTAACAGATCATGGCCACCTTAATTTTATGATATCTTTTACTGTTCTACCAAGCCTGTAGAAATTGGAGCTGAAATTTAATGTTTGCAAACAAGATATTTTTTTCCTGCTATAGTCGACTAATTTTTGAAGTAACTTGTTTGATTTCGTGTAATGATAAATGAGATAATGATAATATATTCATAAGTGCTTAAAATATGGTTAAGATGCTACTTCCACTAATGACTGCCTGAGTTGGTTGGGTGATTCTCACTTCACAAAAAAAAATGGTATTAAGCTGGAAAAGAAATGATCAAATGCAAAGGTTTCAAAAATGATCAAAGGCAGCAAAAACTTGAAAATGTTTACTTATGAAAAACAGCTACTGTACTGGATGAGATGCTTTTTGCCCAAGGGTCTTCTCATCCCCACCCCACCCCACCCCCCCTGAACACACCCCCACCAGTTGATGTGAAAAAAAACCCATAGATTTACTGGTTAGAGGTGGCTGATTTGGTTTGGGAGTGTAGCTGAGCAGCAAGAGACTTCAGGGGGAACCCTTGGAAACAAGAGAGCTATAGAAGGGCTGAGGTAATATCCCCTGCACGCACTTGTGGCTGGCTGCTACACAGAGTGGGCGCCCAGGGAGCACAAGCAAGTTTGAAAGCCTGGGGAGACTTACTTATTTGCTGCAAATTTGAATGAGTTTTTTAACCCATACACAGGTTGGGCAGCAGAGAGGGGAAGCTTCATTGGCATGAGTTGTTACTGTATAACCGCTGTTGAAATCACTGGCTGATCACCAACCTATGCAGGCACAATAGAGAGTCCCCCAGAGAGTCGGGGGAGAAAAAGGAGCAAAAATTTCAGCTCTCTGCAGAGGAAACAGATTTTTCATTTTCAGTCTAGGCAAATCCATTACATATTAAAACAGTAAAACCAGCAGATTTCAGTTGAACAAAATGGAATATAGAGTCACCACAGTGTATGACACACAGTGCCTAGTGTTTTATCAGATTACTGGACATATAAAGGAGCAGGAGCATGTGACCCAAATTCGGGGTGGGAGGTGCTGGGAATAGTTAAGTAGAAAACAGAACAGAATTGAGAATCCAAAGGTAAGCTCACATTTACATGCTCTATTGATTTTTGACAAAGTGACCGAGATTATTCAATGGGGAAAGGGTAGTCTTTTAAGTAATAAGTGCTGAAATAATGGAATATCAATAAGGAAAAATGTGACATTAAGCCTTCCCTCATACTGTATACCTAGAAATGAATTCTAAGTGGATTGTAGTCCTAAACAAAAGAGTTAAATACTACCAAAAATTCTAAATGGAAACAAGAGAAAAATCTTTGTGGACGTGGGTTAAGCAAAGATTTCTTAGGACATAAAGTACAGACTATAAAAGAAAAAGGTGACAAACTGAACATAATTAGAATTAAAAATTTTGCTCATCAAAAGATAATGGTAATTCACTCAAAAGGTAAGTCACAAATTAGGAGAAAGTATTTGCAAAACTTACCTACAAGTGACTTGTATCTGAGATTTTTAAAGAGCTCTTAAAACTCAGAAATAAGACAAATAACTCATTAAAAATAGGCAAAAGATTCCAACAGACACGTCACAGAAAAAAACACGCAAATGTGCTCAGCGTCATTAGTCATTAGGGAAATGCTAATTAAAGCCACAAAGAGATATCACTGCATATCCACTAGAATGACTGAAATTAAAAAGATTTACAATACTAAGTGCTGGCCAGAATGTGGATCAAGTGGAACCCTCATACTGATGAGGGTAGAAAAACTACTCAGCCACTTTGGAAACATTTGGCAGGTTCTTAAAAGGCTAAATATGAAACTAAGCAATTCTACTCCTCAAAGAAAGATAGAAACTTATGTATGAGAGTCTTGTAAGTATGTATTCACAATAACTGAAAAATGGAAACAATACAGTGACCTCAATATGTAAATGGATAAAGTGAATATGGTAAATTATTCAGAAATGTAAAGGAATTTTTTAACAATTTTTTACAAATTTTTATAAGTAAAATAATTTATTTATACATAAAAAAATACATGAACCTCAGACATATCTTAAAAATTTCTTTCTTTTCTTTTTTTTAAATTTCTTTTTTGCTTTATTTTTGATAATATAGAGAGACAGAGCATGAGCAGCAGAGGGGCAGAGAGAGAGAGGGAGACACAGAATCTGAAGCAGGCTCCAGGCTCCGAGCTGTCAGCACAGAGCCCAATGCGGGGCTTGAACCCACAAATCGTGAAATCATGACCTGAGCCAAAGTCAGATGCTTAACTGACTGAGCCACCCAGGTGCCCTAAAAATGTCGTAAAAGAAGCCAGGCAGGAGTGCCTGGCTGGCTCAGTCTGTGGAGCATGTGACTCTACATCTTGGGGTTGTGAGTTTGGGCCCCACATTGGGTGCAGAGTTTACTTAAAATAAAATATTAAAAAAAGAAAAGTGAGACCTATAAAACCACTACCATATGATTCCATTCATACAAAATGTCTATCATTATAAGTCTACCTTTTCTAGAACTGCCTAGAAATGCCTTGAGAAGGCAGGATTATAATGACAAAATATGTGGGAATGGGAACTAAAAATATGCGTGGAGAGAGATGTGGCTGTAAAAAGACTTAAGGAGACTTTTTGGGAAGCTCAATAGTTTTTTAAAACTTGATTATGGTGATAGTTGCTAAATGACATATGTTCACCAAAACTCACCAAAATACATACACATGCAAAATGGGTGAATTCTGTTGTATGTGGACTGTATGTCAATAAAGCTATGGTTTTTTTAAAGCTATGTTTTTTAAAAAGATTAAAATGTTACAAGCATGAAAAGCAGGAATGAATACAGAACTGACAATTGAATATAAAACAAATGCATGATTCTGAAAATTTGATGGAAAAATGTTTGATTAAAATTTTTTTATATTAAGGAGAAATTCACACAACATACAGTTAACCGTTTTTGACGTGTATAATTTAGTGGTACTTTAATATATTCATCATGTTGTGTAACTACCAGTTCTCTCTAATTTCTTTTTTTCTTTAATTTTTTTAAAATGATCATTTATCTTTGAAAGAGAGAGAGACAGAGCGTGAGGGGGTGAGGGGCAGAGAAAGAGGGAGACAGAATCTGAAGCAGGCTCCAGGCTCTGAGCTGTCAGCACAGGTCCCGATGCGGAGCTCAAACTCACAAACTGCGAGATCATGACCCTGAGCCGAAGTCGGAAGCTTAACTGACTAAGGCACCCAGGCGCCCCTCTTTTTTGTTTTGTTTTGTTTTTTAATAAGTTTATTTATTTATTTTGAGAGAGACAGAGACAGTGCAAGAGGGACAGAGAGAGAGGAAGAGAGAGAGAATCCCGAACAGACTCCATGCTGCTAGTGCAGAGCCCAACCCAGGGCTTGAACTCACGAAACCTTGAAATCACGACCTGAGCCGAAACTAAGAGGCAGGCTCTCAACCATCTGAGCCACCCAGGCACCCCCAGCTCTCTCTAATTTCAGAACCTTTTCATTGCCTCACTAAAAGCACCAATCACTCCCAACTGTCCCCTCCTTATCCCCTGGTAAACTCTAATCTGCTGTCTGTCTCAGTGGATTGGCCCATTCTGGATACATCATATAAAAAGATGAACTTTGAAGTTCATCCAGGTTGTGGCATGTACCATACTTCGTTCCTTTTAATTGCTGAATAATATTCCATTGGCTGTATATACCACAAATTTTTTATCCATTCATCTGTTGATGGATATTTCGGTTGTTTCCACCTTTTCGCTATTATGAGCATTGGTATATTAACAACATTTGTGTGCAAGCTTCTGCATGGAGTTATGTTTTCATTTCTCTTGAATACTACCTAGGAATGAAACTGCTAGGTCATATGGCAATTAACTAGGTCATATGGTACTTAATTTTTGAGGAACTGTTTTTCATAGTAGGTACACTATTTAACCTTCCTACCCAGAATAATGGAACAAATGGTTCCTATATATTCAATCTTTACTAATACATGTTATTTTCCATTAGTTTGTTTAAAGGCATCCTAGTGGGTAAGAAGAGATAAATCTTTGTGGTTTTGATTTGAATTTCTTTAATGGCCAATGGTGAACATCTTTTCATGTGCTTATTGGCCATCTGTGTATCTTTGGAGAAATATCATTGCAAGTCCTTTCGTTATTTTTCAATTGGGTTGTCTTTTTGTTGTTGAGTTGTAAGAGTTCTTTATGTTTTAGGATATTAAATCCCCAACAGGTACATGATCTGCAAATACTTTCTCCCATTCTCTAGTCTTTTCACATTCTCAATAGTGTCTTTAATGCACACAAGTTTTTAATAAAGTCCAATTTCTTTTCTTTTTTTTCTCCCTCTCCCTCCCCCTTTTCTTCTTTCTCCTTCCCCTCCTTTTCCTCCTCCTTAGTTATTCATTGCCTTTGTTGTCAGACCTAAGAATCCATTGCCAAAGCAGAGGTCATGAAGATTTATGACTCGATTTCATTTTAAGAATTTTAGAGTTTTAGCTCTTATATTTGGGTCCTTGATCCCTTTTGAGTTCATTTTTTTATATGTAGTGGGATGAGATTCGAGCTTCATTTTTTTTTTATTTTTTTTTTTTTTGCTGGTGGCTATCCACTTATCTCTGCAAGAAACTATTTTTCTCTCAAACACCTTAGTTAAAGTAATTCACTTCCTAATCATTTTGTAAATCATGTTGATGAAGCAAGTATGGTGTGACTAACCATTCTCAAGAAACTCTAGCTTGCCAATTGGTTACATAAACTTGAGCTCAAATTTCACCTTCTTGG